CGTACAGCAGAGGTCTCTCTTTCTCTCTTTCTGAATTGACAAGATCACTTTTGTCCATTACATTTTGCATATGGTGATATAGTCCAAAACAATGGTGAGGTGGAAGCAGACAAGGGTCACTCTCATCCATCCTTAGTTTCTCTGGTGTAGGAGCTAACACGTACGTGCGCTTGGATTGTGATGCATCCCCATATATTTAAGGACAATAATATTATATTGCTGTCACCTCTACGGTTTTTGATAGCAGTTTATTATGGACAGGTAGGAATTTCACTTCAAAATATTTAGCATATACGTTTAAAAAAGGGAGTAATTTAATCAAGAGAAAATGGTCAAAAATATCTTTCTACTATTCATTTATACTCTCCGTTATATTTTTGGTTCATCCTTACCCCCGACGTTACAAAAGTGATGCAAAAATACCCCTCCTCCATTAAGGTCCTCCACCATGGCCACAATCATCCAACACGGACTGATATTTCGCTGAGGTGGACGCCACATGGCATGCCACGTCACCATCCCAACCCCATTTTACCCTCTCCCCCTACTTCTTCTTCTTCCACCACCATCTCCTCTAGTAGGCGAAATCTAATCAGCTGTTAGCAAATTATCCATTGGAATACCACATTAAGAACCATTAAACTAGAACAAGATCTGACTATTACAAAAAATTCCATATACTAACATATAATAATTGAATTCAAATCCTAAATAGTAAAAAGCTAAAACCTTTCATATCTGGCTATAGTCACAACAAAACCATGGATAAAAAGTAAAATCATAGTACTAGTGTACTCACAACTTCGGCATACTGAAAAACTATGAATCACAGGCAGAATGAAAAGTTAAATTCGTCATAGAAAACATGAAGAATTTCTCGCACAAATTAGTATAAGTTCGCATGAAAAATCAAATGCCTCTAAGAATCATAAGAAATTAGTAATCAGCAAATCTTACTTTTTCATTTAAATATTTATATTTAGGTGATGGTTAGGTGAAGAGGGAGATAGTGGTGGAAGAGGAGAACATAGAGGGAGGGGTAAAATGGAGTTGGAACGGTGAGATGGCATGCCACGTGGCGTCCACCTCAGCTAAATGTCAGTCCACGTGGGATGATGGTGGCCATGGTGGAGGGCCCTAACGGAGGAGAGGTATTTTCGCAAAAGTATAACGAAGCATATAAATGATCATTTTCGCATAGTAGAGGAGTATTTTTGACCCTTTTTCCTTTAATCTATAGGTACAGTACAATTTTGGGGGAAGGATATTCAGGTGACTACCATTCATTGGGTGTAATTTTGCGCCTCGTGTCCGTGGAAATAGATTTCTTTTTATTAAGTAATGTCTGAAATATCCACGTATGCACAAATTAATTTGTTTATTCTTTGATGATAATATGATAAGTTAAGACACGTAAATAATATTGTGAAATCCTGCAGACGAGATAATATAATTTTCAGAAGTCTTATAAATATTTCATCAGGGTCAATATAATGTTGCAGTATGGGCATGCAGCAGTAGGCGGCACAATATATACATGCTGATAAACAAGGGTAGAGGTAGAAATTTCGATCAAATAATCCAGTAGCTTTTACTTTAAAACCTAGTTCTTAGCACTTTTAAATAACCATGCATCTTTTTCAATATTTATTACTCTTTTCAGGTAGGGTTAATTAGGAGCTGGAAATGTACAGATCTTTCACTTTCAACATCTCTGGATCAGTGAGATGCATGCAAAGCCAAGCAAGCTCAAAGTTACAAGCCTAAGTTTGGCATAAAAGTTGCCTACTTTAGGGTGTATACGTTCGAAATAGATTTCGGCCTTCCTACGTTCGATCGAGTTCGAGTGTTAAAAGGTCGGAATGAGATTTTGGGAGTGAGCTCCGAAATCGGTACTAACGAGCCTCGAGCTCGAAGGTCGCTCAAGGAGTCGGCTCGATAATCCTATCGAGCCCGTGATCGAATCGATCCGCAAGGCATTGCTTCGAGGTCGGAAAGACGCGACGCCCATCTCGAAGGTCGAACTCGAGCCAAGACCGAAGGGGCCGACCCAGTAACGAGTTCGAGCCAGTATCGAGCTCACGGACAAGAGCCGTTGCGACCGCACCAAGAGAGAGAATCTTGGCGGGAATCAAAGAAAAGACAAGTCATCATGGGCCTTCCACTATTTGCTTTATTTTATTATTTTTTGTAATGAACCTCTTCTATAAAAGGGGGAATCCTTGTAAGCTAAGGGCAGAGACAAAAAATCTAACTCAAGGTGTGTAGAATTAACTTACCTTCCAGTAGCTAGTTGAAATCCCCTCTTGAAAAGCTCCAAAATCACCCAAAAATGGAGGAAACACAGACAAAAATGGCTCAGCCTCGCCCCTTTTTAACATTCTGTCCGAACAACTTTTTCTCACCTGCGGAGGCTGGCCGTACTTGAGGAAAACTCTCGCAGGTGCGAGATTTCTCTTCTTGGCCAGGCTCCGCACCTGCGAACAAAGGGGGTCGCTTATGCACATCCGCAAGTGCGCCCGGGAGTCCGCTTCTACGTCAATGCCTGTCTCCCTCCCTTTTGCATCTGCGGCTTGGGGCTCGCTTCTGCGAGCTCGCACCTGTGGCTGCCTATGCGCAAGTGCGGTTGTAGCAGAAGCCTGATGCAACAACTGCTCTTCAAAAATCCAACCTTGGTCGGAGCCTCATCCAGTTAACACTCGAGGGCCCGCCCGAACATATCAACAAGTTTAAAATCATAAAACGGACTCGCTCGAACACTCAGAACTAAAAATCATACCCCAAACCAAATTGATTCAACTTAGAAATTTTAAATTCTTCAAACTTACTCCGAACGCGTCGAAATATACTTATACTGCTCGGAATGACACCAAATTTTGCGTGCAAGTCTTAAATCACCATACGGACCTACGCCAACTTCCGAAATCGTATTCCGAACCCGATATAAAAAAGTCCACTACCGGTCAAACTTCTTAAAAACCTTCAAATTTCTAACTTTCGCCAAATGACTCTGAAATGACCTACGGACCTCCAAATTAACATCAGGATGCGCTCCTAAGACCAGAATCACAATACAGAGCTATTCCCATGCTTGAAATTTCAAACGGATCTCAATTACTCCAAAACCTACTCCAAACCAAATTTAAAGAACATTAAACCTTCAAATAGCTAATTTTTACTATTAATCGCCAAAACGCTCCCGGGTTGTCAAAAACTCGATTCGAACATAAGCCCAAGTCCAAAATCATCATACGAACCTATTGGAATCGTCAAATCCCGATTCCGGAGTCGTTTACTCAAAATATTGACCGAAGTCAAACTTGACCTTTTAAAGCCAAACTAAGGAACCAATTGTTCCGATTTCAACCCGATCACTTCCAAATTATGAATCAACCATCCCCGTAAGTCATAAATTAATAAAAGCACATACGAGGAGTCTTATTTAGGGGAACGGTGTTCTAACAGTCAAAACGACCGGTTGGGTCATTTCATTCTCTCCCACTTAAATATACGTTCGTCCTAATGAAAGATATCCCTTTGTGTTTGCTTTACATTATTTCATTCATTCTTATTGCCCACTATTTGCATTTTCACAGTCAAGAATATACATATCTCTATTTTTCTATACGATTTATATCGAATTATATTGCATATCCTTAGAACCATACAAAATCTAACGTTATCCGATTTTTCCGGTAAACAAGGAGAATTCATAGATGTATGATCAATTTAAAACCAACGGCTGATTAAACTATGGAAAATAATAATTCGGTTAATTAAACTGTAGTTTTTAATCTACGTAATAATTTAAATGAACTGGGCAGAGATAATTGATTGTCACACACAGGCCTTTGATTTTGACACCGCGGCACCACATGCCACAATGATTGGAATTTTTAAGTGGTCCGTTATATTTGCCAAATTTACTGGTCCTTACTCTTAGTCGCTGACTCGCTGATAATGTTTGATTAGAGGGTAAAGGCCTAAAAATGACCTTGTGGTATTCGAAATATCAAAAATACCAAAAATGACCTTGTGGGCCTTTTCTCTTGATTAAATACCAAAAATTTAAGATATAAGAGCTATATTAGTTTAATTTATTAATGGTAGCAGGAAAAAAATTAAATTGAAAGTGAAAATATCACGTTAAATACATTTGATTTAGAAACTTGAACTACATGTTACATAAATTAAATTAATTTAGTAGTACTATTTTAAATAAAAATTAAATAGTATTTGAAAATTTCATAAAACGAATTCCATAGAAATCGAGATGGATGGAATACTATAGCTGGTACAATCTCAAGAAGTTCTTCAAAAAATTTGGTAAAGGGTAACTGGTAAGCTTAATGGAGTATATATATTTTTTTTAGTAATAACACGAACATCAATTAGTACGCACTCGGTGTTATTTTTTCCACTTCGACATAGATATGTCAAATTATGTAATTTTAATTTTATTTTGACTTGTCATTTTCCACAGTACCGCATCCACGTGTGGACTGACAATTGTAGGATTTCACAATAAATCTTAATGTAGAGGTTGTCCCAGGTCAAGTGATCATATTTCATGTCCTTATGTCCCAATTAATAAATCATGCCACGCCACAAGACATCTCTATTTAATTTAAGTGAAAATGGCCAATTTTGCTCCGAGCAAATCCATTTAGGACAATTTTATAAGTACTTTGTTTCATTTTTAGTCCAAAATTACCTATATAATTAGCCAAGTAGTTTATTTTTACCAACGGACCTCCAGTCAAATAAAAAGAGCTATTTGGTCCTCAAAATATTCGAAATAGGACAATTTTGTCATCCGTTTTGTTATGTGTCCAAACTCCAAAATGAGTCCTCGTACTCCACCCCTTCATTAGTATCTCTGAGAAAAGGTCATTTCCCTGATTAATTTAACATGAACTCAGTATTCAGTAACAGAAGTGGAAAAGTTGTTCAAAAATAATATGCTGCAGTATAAACATAGTAACGGAAAAAAAAAAAGTATGAACATAGTACAAACTTTTATTGTGTTCGGGCTGGATAACAAGGAGGAGGGACCTGTTCAGCCTCCATCTAAAGGGTCAGGCCCAAGTACTGGGCCTATTTTTATCTCAATGGGCCGGGTACTCTAGGTTCACCCTTTCCAATTTAATCATAAATATAAGGAAATTCTTGCTTTAATAATAAATAATACTATTACACTGCTTTCCAAAATTAACCAATCAATGCAAAGATACAAATTAATAAATATTGAATAATATGAACCTCTAATCTAAAATATACACCTCTTCACATATCGGCTTGATTTTTCTTCTTAAGCAAAGTACATGTCGTATTTTCTATTTTTTGGGGCCAAACTAAGTACATGTTTTGATACCGGCCACATAATTAGTGGTAGCAAAATGGTTAAAAGAAAAAAACTACCAATCTATATTATCCATAAAAAAATAGGTTGGATAATGAACTTAAAACTGATCAAATATGGATAAGAATCATATTATCCACTTAAAAAATAGATAACCAATGGATAACTAATAAGTTTAACTTTTACATTTGCAAAGCCTCAAATTAGGGTTTTTTCAAGTTTAAGAGACTAGAAATTTTTTCAAAAATGATCATATTCAAGAAGTCATGGATAATATAGATATTCATATTATCTGTCAGTTAACCCATTTTTTATACGTATTAAATATGAGTCGTCCGATAGAATAATTTATTTGTTTTTGCACTACTCGTTCTCGACCAGACAACATCCGACTTGACCCGCCCATTTATCAACCCATGTAATAAAAAAACTCAAAAGAGTATTCAATATAAAACCTTGTGACAACGAGTAAAGTAACTCAAGATCTTTATAAGCACCTTTAGATGCCTTAATTACGTGATATTGTACGTTATACGAGGACTCTACACCTTATAGCACGTGTAACCTGATTTTTTGACATTCACACTTAAGACTTTATTTTATTTTATTATTATTTAGCAGTCAAAGTATATATTCTCGAGTTCTTGGTTTCGCACGTAGAAATTAAGTCTTCGCTATGTTCAGGTCATTCCCAACAATATCCAATGGAGATTGAGGATTTAAAGAGAAACTCTATTATATTCTCTTGGAAGTTGAAATAAAATTACAAACAGTAAAAATAAAACCTGTAAAAACATTAATGGGAGAGATAAGTTTTGAAAAACTCATCAGTCGTCCCTAATTACTTTTGGTATGCATGCATGCAGTATTTGATAGACCATTCATTTTCTTGGTATCTTACAACTAATGTACGTCTAAATGATTAATGATGTTCCCAGTTTCCTAATAGTACAATAAATAAGAAAAACTTCTGAGTTTTCCAAAAAAGATTAATTAAACGCATGTAAATGTGCTATAAATAGTCATACGATCCATCTATCAAAAATCATCAATCTAATTTATTTTCACAATACAACAACAATGTACTCATCATATGGTAGCACCAGCTCACAACCACTTTACAATACCGAATCAAATTTGGTGGACGAACAATTGAAACAACAGTGACTAACAAAGCTGCAATTGCCAATGAATGGGCAACTGAAATGCTCTCCAAATATGCTGGAAAAGACACAGTTGTTGGCTTAGACAACGAATGGAGACCTACTTTTATTCCATATACAAGCAATAAATCAGCCACACTCCAACTTTGCATTGATGACAAGTGTCTAATAGTGCAGTTGTTTTATTTGGACGAAATCCCACAAACCCTTAAAACATTCTTGGCTAATCCTAACTTTATATTTGTGGGAGTTGAGGTTGCTGAAGATATACTTAAACTAAAGAATGAGTATGGGTTGGTTTGTAATAGAAGGGCTGATATACGTGATGTTGCTAAGAGTAAGTGGCCAGGCAGGTATTCTCGCCCAGGGTTGAAAGATCTTGCTCGTGAAATATGTGGTCTTTATATGCCTAAGCCAAAACATGTTTGTCAGAGTAATTGGGAGGCAAGGGTTCTTAGTGAAAGCCAAGTTGAATATGCATGCATTGATGCGTATGCTTCTTACAAGATTGGTCACAAGCTTCTTATGGAAATATGAAGTTATTATAATAAGTTAAGTAAGAGTTTTAGGTAAATGTGGTTCTTTCTTTTGCATGGTTTGCTAGTAATCAAATGTCTTTTGAAGGTTTCTTCGGCGACGTCCGAATTTAAAGTATTTCACTTTCTAGTATTTGGCTGTTAAATGTTTTCGTTAGAATCTGAGTTTTCATTTGTCAAAGTGGCTTATTATTCCTACTTTATGTTAAATTTTTGCTTGACTCTGTTAAGGATATATCCTCGTTTCTCTCCATTGCTACGGGTTATATTGAAAATATCAGTAAATATTAAATCCTTAATCCATAGTTTAGAAGGTTGAACCCATTAAAAATAAAACTTTGGATCCGTCTCTGCTGGTATTATGATTCTGGGTCGACGTTTTATGTGGATCGGGATTGGTAATGTATTGGTTGAGCTCCCCCTATGCCCAGTCACTACTAGAAAAATAGCAAAATCCGTCCACACAATTTCGATCGAAATCGGTCGGAAAATAAATAAATTTATCGCAAATAAAATATTTCTGACAACGGAAACTGTGGTCCCACAACAAATATATACAAATTCCGACCGATATCGGTCGAAAATTAGTCAATATAAAAAAAATATTTTTGACAACGGAAACAGTGGTCCACAACAAATATATACAAATTTCGATCGATATCGGTCAGAAATTAGTCAATATTTGTCCAAGACCCGGTCATAGTTCATATTATCTAATAAAATAATTTTTAATTAAATTTTTTCAAATATACCGACCGAAATCGATCGGTATATTTGAAATTATTTTTCCCGCCAAGGCAATTGATTTTATAATATAACAAAAATTATATATATATTTAATTTAAAAACCGAAATAATATTTGATTAAATATTTTCGCTGAATGACGCGCTAGAGCTCAAAACGACCGGTCGGGTCGTTACATTCTCTCACACTTAAACATACGTTCGTCTGCGAACGTGCTAAGAACTGCTCTGGAGTTGTCTGAAATCACTGTTTAACACCTCGTGTACCTACCCATGCTACCATAACCCACTTGAGCACATCTGCTCGAGCAAACCTGAAAATCCTCCCTTTTTGCTAGTCAAATAAGCCTTAGAGCCAAATTCCAACATCTGAAATTCCCTACCAGGTCTGTTCCAACATACGAACACCATATCCATCACTACATAATGTACTAACGCATGATTATATACCCTTACTAAATTTTTACCATGCAACGCATAATTTACATGATCGTAATAACATCCTCTGATAACAACAGTCGAAAACCCACGAATCCGATGCTCATAACACACCTCATGACTCATATAAATCCTGTTCCAACTCTTGCAATATTGCCACGACAGAGAAGATGTGTAGAACTCATAACAACCTGCCGAAACACAATTTATTGAGTCTCTCCTCCCGACAAGGACCACTACCTCATTCTGGACTGAATAGCAATATTTACTCTTTAATATACTTCATATAAATTTGATCGTACTGATCCCAGGTCCAATAATCTCGTCTCACCCAGTACAAGATGCTTAGGCAATAAGCCACCTCAGACACTGCCAAAAGTCTCATAGGATGCCACAATGTGCCAACAATCCACAAACTTGAATATGGTACATAAGGAAAAACGAACTCTGGAAAGAGTTACTTAACCCACATAGCTAATTAAACAACTGAAAGGATGTTATGAACCTTCCTCGGGAAATGAGAAGCAAAACACGCAATAATAAATATGGGAAACTGTACTCAATAATACATTATTGTGGCGTGCAACCCGATCCACACATGATACCGTTGCGGTGTGCAACCCGACCCAACCATGATACCCGTGGCAGTGTGCCACCCAATCCAATCAACATATCCATGGCGGCGTGCCACCCGATCCAACCATAATAATCTAAAGAAGACACAGATCGAGCCATAATGCTCATACTGACGAAATGCCCGAATATCGACCATAAGCACGCCAAGTTCATAATACAAATCCTGGGGAGAGGGGTAGCATCACGCGATACAAAACCCAAGCACCACTAAGGTGCAATATATGACATGTATCTTGAGAGCCATCCTGCTCACATAATACCACAAACCATACGAGATCTCAATACGAGTGCGAATAATCAAACCACTTCACAACCCAATTAGTATAATATAGATTGCACGGGATAGATGACGACAGGAATAACATCCAAGGCTCGAAGACCCTCCCGAAAACAACGCTATGTTGAGATGAGCACATCCGGTCCCACATTCTCATTTAGATCCATCCACGTACCTCAAACCGATTCTGATCATACTATGCTTGACTAAGTAGTGTCTCAAGGGCCCACAATTACCTATTCACGATACATAAGAACAACCGTCAAGTCCGGAACAAACTTCCACATTCCACAACCAAATGAACCGAGCTACCTCCTGGTATAAATTCTCACATTAGCGATAGTACCACACTCCCCATACTTGGTTTCCAATCTTTAACCGATCAAGTTACTACATGACACACTTATACAATCTTCCCATGGGATACGCTCCCACGACCTTCCGCACCAGGTCACAAGCTTGCACATCCATACCATAGGCCACACTAATGCTGTAAAGTAAATCAAGAAGCTGCAAGTCAGTACACAAAGCCTCTTACATAGGACACCGATCTCAGGTGATGCTAAAGACAATACCAGCTTACTCTAAACATCTGAATCCTTCTCTGATCATCCGAGCTCATGACATTTTTGTTAATACCGAATCGCAACCTTAATCCTCAGCTTCCAATTTCCCATGCCGCTCACTGCACCTAACATGCCAATACGTGAGAGTACCAGAATTCTATAATAACCCCTAATCCACTAATAGAATAAACACTTCATCATATAGAAACCTTTTACTTAGCTCATTTTAGAAGAACCAATGCAACACACAACTAAATTACCAAACCGCTGAAAATACACCCTCATGTCGTAATCTAAACTGCCATAACTCTTCCGGAAATCCCTTTACACAACAAAGACATACGAATCGAATACCTCCCAAATCAACCAAGTTGTGGTGGCTCTCGAGCCTAAGTGTACAACCACAAACCACATGTATAACTTCACGCTGGAGAAACTGGTCGTCGCCATAACCGTGCTGATTCAACCATAACCAACCGAGCCACTTCTTCTAATTTGCTTGGGACTTGCCCTAGAAATAATAATATCTCCATTCAAAACATCATGAACCCAAATCCACACTCATCCTGAGTGGCCTTATTTCACGAGACCATGCTCGTCTCAAAACCCACAAACCATCTTATACCCTCCTTGTGCGCACATTCGCATCTTCAACTGGTATACCCATTCTGATATTTCATTTACGAATCCAAGTTATTTTCTCCCATTTTCCAATACTGCACTGCAGACCGATGATAACATAGAACACTCCAAGCCCATTTCATAATCTACTGCAAAAGCTCGATACTTAACCATACTACTTGCTCGAAATCCTTAGGTACCACACTTAACTTTTGAATCCACCAGGACTGTTGTTGAGAGTCACCCATTCTGACTCGGTCCCAAATATAATCAACTCCAAGGCCCTGCTAGCACATGTACACCCTCTCAAAGAAACACCCGGCTAAATCACGTTCCTTGTAACTCACCTCTAAACGAAGCATAAACTGCGAGTCTTCCCAACTCCTGAACATGAATCAATAAGACCAATTATAGCATACATTCCTCAAATCCTTGGCTCAAATCACCACTGATGTTCTCTTTATTTAGTCGTAATAACCCACCAATATGCCGATAACCAGAAACCTCACAAGTAGATAACCATTCAATCCAATCATAGACGGTGGGGCCCTCCCACTTAGCTTGAAGCTACCATTGCATAACTCTGGAACCTACCAAGATTCCCTTTTCCTTACTGACGTGACCTTGCGCAATAGACCCGCCATATTCCTCTAAATCTTCCTGTTAACCATTTTATGAACACCTTGAATCACTAGCCACTTTTACATAATCGACCTCTTACCGGATAAACAGTAAAATTCTTCATAAGAGTTTCATCAACACCACGCAACAATTAACATGCTCACCAGAAATAACCCACCTATGGAAATTCCATGTCGACATCTTCCAACAACGCTGCACTAAGTACAATTACTATGAAATCCTTAAGCCATCCTGAGCCCGTGCTCATTCACCAGTCGTACAAGCCCGTTCACTTCCCATTGACATCAACTAAAGGTGCGACAATACATTTCAATCCAAAGTCATGTTGTATCCTGCTTCCTATTAAGCAACTCCCTCTTGTCACACCCAATCTTCCTCAATATAGCAGCCAATATTCCAAATTAAGTTCGTAGACTTAGTCTCTGTCGGTCCACCTGAACGGAGCACCCTTCTGGGTCAGTCTGGTCATAGGCGCTGCAATTAATGAAAATCCCCCCACAAAGCGACGGTAATACCCTACCAAACCAAGGAAACTGCGGATCTCCGTAGCTGATGACGGTCTGGGCCAACTCTGTACTGCCTCCACCTTCTTCAGATCTACCTTGATCCCATCACAAGACACTATGTGGCCCAAGAATACCACTGAATCAAGCCAGAATTTGTACTTAGAAAATTTTGCATACAATTTCTTCTCCCTCAAAGTCTAAAGCACGGTCCTCAGGTGTTGCTCATGATCTTCCCGAGACTGGGAATATACCAGGATATCGTCAATAAACACAATGATGAAGGAATCAAGATAAGGCCGGAACACACTGTGCATCAAATGCATAAAGACTGCTGGGGCATTGGTCAGCCCAAATAACATGACAAGAAACTCATAGTGACCATATCTGGTCCTGAAAGTAGTCTTTGGGATGTCCGGCTCTCGAATCTTCAACTGATGATAGCCAGAATGCAAGTCAATCTTGGAAAACACCCTGGCACCCTGTAACTAATCAAATAAATCATCGATGCAAGGCAAATGATACATGTTTTTCACTGTAACCTTGTTCAACTACCGATAATCAATACACATAC